CTTGATCCCCTCGAAGTGATCATTATCATCCCCTTTCTCTTCTTCTTTTTTACGATAAGACTTTAGGGTCTTATCATTTGGTATCAGAGCGACGATAAGACTTTAGGGTCTTATCATTTGGTATCAGAGCGATGATAAGACTTTAGAGTCTTATCAGTTTTGCATTGACATGGTTTTGTATTGACATGTTCTCTCCCTATTTATACAAGTTGAGAGAGAGGATTTCCCTCAATAGAGTAGAGAGATTTCTTCAAACAGTTAGGAAAATCTCATTTGCTATCATATACCACTCTAGAACCAAGCCACATAGCAAGGTAGAGAATGTATGACACATCAGGGTATCCGATATGTCGTATAAGAATATTTGAGCATAAATGACCAATATGTGATCGGTTAGGTTTATATCTCTATCGAACCCTTGCAAGGTTAGCAGTTTGAAGCTAGTAAGAATGAGCTCTTCCTGAGTCTTCTAAATAAACGAGGATCGATCGAAGATGTTCTCAACCAAATCTTCGTCCTTGGACAGACAAAACTCCCAACACATGTTCTCTAGGTGTCGATCCATCTGTTATAGCTATGCCTGAAGAGTATCTTCTATAGAATTTGTTGGTTATGCCTCAGACTCAAGCAAGGTGGATTATGGTCGATGAGGCTCGTTAAACTCCACATTCGAATATTAGAGCACTCAATCCTTTGAGTGTTCCATAAGCTTCCGATACTCTTGGGGGGTCGATGCCACATTGAGTCAGGGAACCTCGATAGGCATTGACAGTATCACGAATTGCTATGAGGTTCAAGTCATCATCGACTAGATCAATTGAGGTAGGAGTGAGACGATAGTCTACATTATCCCTATCAATATTGGCACTTGTTGAGTGAGGTCTAAGAAGACTCCGATAGGGAAGGCATGTGGCTTGAGGTCACTATTAGAGGTGAGAGGCGTGGGTTGTTGAATACATGTCAGTATTGTATCACGATTTACATCGAGGTAGATGTGCTAAGGTTACGAAACACCGGCTCTTGCCCCGTGAGTGATGATACTATCGGTTGGGGGTGAAGCATCGTTGTTTGAACGATCATTGAGTGGATCAACGGGGCCAACATTCTAACGGCATGAGCTCTTCTTCTAATATTAAAATATTTATAAAAAAAATTGAAGTGCTTCAAAAGGATGAGATGATTATCAAGGTACCTCTAGAGCTCTCTCGAGAGCCAAGTTACATATACTCACATGCTTCGAAGATGACATGCACGAAGATCGAGAAGATCGAGTATCGATTTTTTGACCTAATCCGTCTAGTGCTCAAGTTGATGAACGTGAACCAAATTATTCCATGTATAATCACATGTTAGTTGTCATTGGTAAAAATTTTTCCCATCAACACACAGAGTACCAAACATTATCAAAGTATCCTATTACATACGACACATCTATCAAAGTATGTAAAAAATAATAATGTGTCGTAAAGTATTTTTTGTCCGCATGATGCATTCGTCTAATAATAAATACATCAAAATATTTAAAGGATCTTATTGTATAAAAAAAATCTTTAAATACATGATAATTTTGCTTTGGACATAAGAATCAACTAGTCCGATGGACTTAGCAAAATTTCTCTTTGCATTCACTGCGCTCGCTTATGACCAAAATAAAAATAAAAATCATTTGAAGCAACAAGATCCAAAGCATCCACACAATTGTTGTTGATGTTCCAAGACAGACATTGCAATATTGAATATACAAAATGATATGTTGAAGCACAATAGGATGATAAATAATATAACAATTATTTTCGACTATTCATGTCAGCATGATATAAAACGTTAAATTAGAGCATTCTAATACATCACACTATCAGTGTAGCCCGACTCGAATAATAGATAATATCAATTTCTCCAGATCGAATTGGTGATGAAAATTTGAGCCGGTTTAGAGCTCGGCCCAATCGGGCCGTGGCTGGGCTCGCACGACGGCACGGATCGGTTCAATTTGAATTGTTGGTCCGACTTAGACGGATCTATAATTAGGGCTTCCGATGATTCTTCGAGATCATTCTTGGAGCGCACCGCGAGTGCTCACCGTTCCTTTCGCCTACCTCCCTCCCATTACGAGGGCCACCCCACTTCCAACCGGGGACGAACCCTAGACTTGCATCCTGCCCTCCTCCGACCCCGCGACAATGGCCGATGCGTACTGGAGGTACGGCGATGCGCGCCACCAGGCGGCTGCGGCGGCGATGGCCCCTCCCCCCGCCACTCTCAAGCGACCTCGTGCGGAGTACCAGTGTGCGTATCTCCCAGCTCCCACCGCTGACCTTTTCTGGCTTCTACGCGCGTTTCTCTTTCTGTATCTTTTTCTTCGATCTGTCTTCGTTTCATGTTTTCCTTTTCTACCTATCGGATTTGCTAGGTTTCCTTTGTGGCAGTTTGCCTCATATTTAAAGAGGGTCTATAGAGATCAATCCTTCTGGGTGTCTGTTAGGGGAATATGGGCGGTGATTCATGAGGTTGCTGTGGTTATCGAGGTTAGGGTTCTTTGAATTTTTCTGATCTCGAAAGATTCGTTGCTGTTAATTAAGGGTAGAATAGGGGAAACTTACATGCAGGTTTCATCCGTAGTTACCTATCTGGTGTTGTTTTCTCTAGTATGAGGGGTAGAGTTTGGAAAGATTAACAAGCAACACGGCACACTCGCTTAGAAATGATTCTGTGGTTGAGATCTTATACGTGGTTGAATTGCTTTCAATAGTTTAGCATAGTGAAATGCTTGTAATTTTGGTTATTTTAGTTGAACACGAATTGGTTTCTTGCCGTTCAATTACATGATGCTGAAGCAACACATTTTTTCGGTGGATCATTTTGGGTGGAAAACCCCTTTTTTTATATATTTTTTTAATATTTTGAAGACAGGTTACATTTTTATTAAAAGAAATAAAGTTGTTTGAGATCATGCATTGGTAACTGCTCATGTTGATGTTATGCTATATTAAACTCCAATGTCAGTTGGCATAGTTCTTTAGTTCCAGAAGATGACTTCAACTTTTATCATTTGGATCATTTTTATTGTTAGAGATACCATCAAATTGAACAAGAATGACTTTCGTGTTACTTGCAACAATTTTTTATGAATTTTTCCTAGATATCTAGTTGTGCTTGCTCTTTTTATCTCCTTGTATGATTTGCTCCCTAAAAGATATGCAGTCAGATCATCTTTATATATGGTAGCCTTCTTTTCTAATTAAATGCTTTCGGGCAAGGAGCAAAAACATAGGTGTATAAATAATTGTACTTGCTGCATATATTACATAATTCCTTATTAAACTAATCTTATTTGAATTAAAGATGTGCCTAGTGGTTCCGACGTGTTTGCCTATTACCCTCGTGAGGATGAAGGGACTGCGCATCCTACTGTCAGGGATACTGAGTCCCTTGGGGCTTCATATGATCGTTACTTACGCAATGGGGTATTTTTCATGAATGCTTTTCTACCATGGGTGTTAACTTCTTGTTGGCAGCTAACCTTGATATTTTACTGTAGATTTCTTCTTATGGTGCTGGTGAGTCTGTTAGGCCTGTGGGTGGAGGAATTAATAACCAACCTATTGATGATCGACGAATCATCAGTATCGAAAGCTTGGATGGTCGGAGTGCTGGATATGGTGGCAGAAGGCCTGAACCTCCGCTTCCTCCAGATGCTTCAAATACTTTATTTGTGGAGGGCCTCCCTGCTGACTGTACACGCAGGGAAGTCTCTCGTATCCTTTTGACAGTTTGTGTCTTTTTGTGCTACTAGATTTTAGTTGTTTGCTATTCCTTCATCCTTTTGCAGACATTTTCCGCCCTTTTGTAGGGTTCCAAGAGGTGAGACTTGTGAACAAGGAATCCAGACATGTGAGTCTCAAACTTTATTGAGGGCCCTTTGGTATTCACATTCAATATTACTAACTTCATTTTCTTTGGGGTTTGATGTTCGTGTAGCCTGGGGCTGATCCACTTGTCCTATGCTTTGTTGATTTCGTCACTACAGCCCAAGCTGCAATTGCATTGGAAGCTTTGCAAGGTGCTAATGACATCCATAAATCTTAGTACACTTGATATCATGCTTGTTTTAATTTTGCTGTTTATAGTAGTTCTGTTATTGCTATTGTCTTTGATGCTTCTGCAGAAGGTATTGTTTGTTAATACATAGGCGCTTCACGGACCCTCTTTCCTTGTCGAGTCTTTCATTGACCTGTCTACTTGATGGTCATGTATAATATCAAGTATAATCTTGCTTGCACTAAGGGAGCAGATTGAAGAGAAGAATATATGGCTTAATATCTGTTGATATTTTGGTGTTTCAATTTCGATAAGTGCAATGCAATGGCCTTAAATATTTAGGATTGGCGAAAAACATCTTAATTGCTTGAGGTAGTCCGAGGCTAATTGAACTTTATTCATTAACATACCTGTGAGGAACATTTGATATGATGAGGATGTAAAGAAGATATCAACTTAGTCTATTTGGGCAGTTGGAATAAAGGCATGGTTGTTGCATGCGTTGGTTCACTTTCACATTGTCATCACACAAAGATAGGGAAATCTGTTAAACACAGTTTTGTACGCCCTTTAAATCTGTAATCTCATGTCACGAGAGTTGTAATGTACCTTTACCCGCTAAACAACACTTTGGATGAGCTTGATGACTACATGTTCAGTCATAATAGTTGGATCATTGCAACGAATTATCACAGGAAAAAATGACTATTATTGAATATATCAAGGGTACAGTAGCAAGAATTTTGGTTCTAACCCATATCATCATGATTTGGGGTATAAATTAGTTTCTCTATTTGGTTAAGAGTGATCGAACTCAATTGCTGCTCTTCCTGTTTTAGATTAGGCCACACCTGTTATAGTATCTTGGCCATACTTTTATATATTCCATAATAGCAGCAACCCAAATCGTTATGACGGTCATTATTTCGAACAGTTAATTAGGAGTATCGCAAGTTCATAGTAATAGTTGTTGGCTTGGAGGGTTAAAATAGCAGTCTGATGCCATGGTGATAAATGCAGTTATTGGTGTAGTGTTTATTGGCAACATGCAAATCTGTCATGCGATGTAAGTTCGGTGTGTGGATTTTTAGTACCCTTTTTTCTGCTCGATGTTTTTCAAATTTATCTTCTTAATTTCTTAGTACAAAGAGGATTTAATGCTGAAATTAAACTTCCCCTTACTTTGGTATTCCGTTGTATCTAGTTTTCTACTAACTACTTGCTACAAGCTTGGACGATCAGCCTTGGTCTCTGTTAAGGCTGCTCATTTACGATATAGGTGATTAGTGGCGAGGTCCTTGCACTGGATCTTCTTTTTTGCTCTTTGAAAGTTTTACATTCTCCGCCACGGCCAGAATAACAGAATATGTTCCAAGTCAATAGATTAGATTTGAGACTGTGGGCATTTCGTCAATTAACTCTTCATTCTGACCTGCGAGTGGCAGAACTTGCTTTGCATACTGTCAAAATTTTGACAAACAGGAGGCGACATGATAGCTTCAGATTTTTGTCATGATAAAGCTATCAGAGTCATTTGAAATTAGTACGCACGATATTGGTTGACTGTTGATTACTAAATAGTCGGCCTTAATAATTGACTGTATGATGTTGGTTCACTGTTGATTACTAAAGAGTCAGCCTTAATAATTGGCAGATGTTGAAGAACTTGCGATGCTTTAGTAGTGTCTTTGTTTTGTCTTCATTAGTTATGCGCGTGCAATCACGTCCTCGATAGTGCGCTATGCTGCAACTTTCCGTTCTACGGCAATCTGCGTATCTTCCGTAAAGTATGGCCCTGTCCGTATTGTAAAGTAGTCACGACTCGATTTTGCAGGTTATAAATTTGACGAAAGCGATCGAGAATCAGCCAACTTGAGGCTGCAGTTTGCTCGCTTTCCTGGTCCGAGGTCATTCAGTGGACCTCGTGGCAGGCGTTGATCGTGGGATTTCCTAATCCAGGTGACTTGCGAAATCTACGCTTTACCATATACGTAAGATGTGCTCAAGAAAGGCGTTTTGTTGCAATGTAAAGTTGAACTCAATCATTGTTGTGCGGTCACTTTCTTGTAGGTCCAGTCAATTCGGGAGACTTCCGTGACGAGACACTTATTAGATAATCCATTCACGGTTTCCTATCCCTTATAATTATTATAATAGTTGTAACTGGCATAGTTATATAGCCATGCTGTGGCTTATGCCATCTGCCTAAATTTGGTTGGTGTATTCTCTCTAAAGTGGTTACTAAGCATGGACCATATGTGAGCATGCTTTAAACCTTGACCTTCTGTTTGACCCTTATCTTAGTATTGGCAACTTGACAGTTATGATATGATCAAGCAAACTCTTTTATCTGATACATGTTTTTAGTTTGACTTTAATTTTATCATTTAACTGATGACATGTGCATGTATTGGGAAGTATTGCTTCTGCAGTGTATTACAGTAAACTTTTTTTTCTGATTCTTATGGTAGCACTAAAGCGAATTATTCTGGTTGATGTATTGGATTGTGCATGTATATGTACATGCCCTAGTTTGTGTTAATGCGCTAAAACTGGTGATTCAGATTCCTTTTAGATTTTCTATGGTAGCATTTTAAATGAAGTTATTATGGTTAATATATTGAATTATGCATGTATATTCACATGTGGTGGTTTGTGTTAATATGATATAAAATTCACGGCGTTCTTCATGTAGTTGATGTGGTATTCGACTTGATATGTGAAACCTTGGAGCCCATGACCGTTGTTTCGTGGCTTTCTGTTGAGGATGAGACGGCACTAAATTCTAGTTTCTGGATAAAGCATAACTAGTTCCCCTCTATGATTGTAAGTTGGTTTGCAGGCGGAAAGTGGGCCAGAGCCTGAATTGTTTTGAAGAGGCTTGGAAAACAATTATAGGCAAATATACTCAATTCAAGTATTATTTTTTTACTATGATAAACTTTTTAGCTAAGCTAGCTGAGTTCACCATCACCTAAGTTATTGGCTAGTTATTTATGGGCTAAACGAAATGATAATATATACTTTTAATACTTAGTCTTTCTCTCTCAATGTACTTCTTGTCTTTTATCACGGTGGATCATGAATGTTATAGCAAAATGGTGAAACATACAAGAATGATGAGTGTAAAACATACTTAACCAGTACTAGTATTGGCCTCCTATTTCACAGTCACAGGCTCATAGCTGTATGTGTTTTTTGTATTTTGCCTGTCTTCTAACTTGGCTTCTTCTTTTCTTCCATTTCTCTCTTTTTATTTTCTTTTGAGGTTGTCAAATTTCCTAGAATTGGCTGTAACTTTTGTCAGTTGGATTTGATTGATTCTGTTTGATTTTGATTAGATAGTCTATAAGACTGAGAAATTGGCTAAAATCCTGAATTGTTGGATAGTGCATGTTTTGCTACTAAAGCTTTGTATGTATGGTTACGGTATAGCTGATATTTTTCAATGATGCAAAATTTGTTTAGTTCTGGTCTTGGTAATCCTAAAGCAAAGATAGTATGAGAGTATGAGGTTCATATTACTGAGACATTGAGATCGAACAAGTACATTAAGGACCAGTGTGATTTGAACTGTCAAGATCAACCCCTGCAAATTTTGGGATCCGGGATGGCCAAGACCAGAACATTCTACTGCCTCAGCAATAGGCTTCTATGCTCTACATTTACCGCCTCACGAATAGGTATATTTCTGTGGAATTGATGTGTATGCATGGTTATGCTAGATTTTGATTTTTAGTTTTATGCCCACAGGAGTAGATGTGTTTGCTAGTTTATGCTAGATTCTGGATTTAAGGCTAATGCTCAAAATCATAGTATGCTTGCCTTGCAATCAGGGGAAACGGAAAGAGTATGTTGACCACCCAGTACATTCACCACTAGGACACCTGAAGCTATGGTGCTTACACTGTTCCGAGAAGATACATGATGGCCTGGAGTTGTTGAAGTCTTATCTATGCCTGATACAGGTATTAATTGTTGGCCTTATGTGCAGTAATTTGTGCTCTGGGAATCTATTGTAGGAATCAATTGCTTCATCAACTTCATAAGTTTGTCATTACTGTGCATTTTAAAGTTTAGATTCATCCAGGCATGCTAGTTCTCAGATATATTAACTGCCGTGAGTTGCAACCCTGCTTTGATGACCTTAGGGCCGTGCACTCATATTTCAGTATGGTTGCTGCAATTCTGTGTCTCCCATCACAACATAAAAGGACCAACCTTTTTTAGTATGGAACATTAAAGACTATTTTTGGTGAACTTGATTGGTTGGTCATTTGAGTTCAATGTGAAACAGTCTTCATGTTTTTCATCGTCCAATAAAAAACTACACAATTTATCTTCAAATGTTTTCTTCAGCCAAGCTAATTGAACATGTTAGGTTATTATGATAAGTTTTGTGATTTTAGCATGTACAACGTGAAGTTATGATGCAAGGGTTCATGCGTACCTCATTGTGACTCGTTTTTATCTGCTGTAGGTCATATTTGCAAAACAGTCAAACGGAGAGGTTGAAAACCGATGTTGTGTCGGCATACAATTGAAGTTTTTGGAATGGTCGTTTGGTATGACGTCTCTCTCGAAACTATTTGCAACCCATACTGAGGAGGTGAAGGAGATTTCACGTTTGGTGGACTTTTCTGCTTGTGGTGTTTTGAGGTAGTAATGCTATCTCTCTTTTCCTCGATTATGATTGGTGCATTAGGACGGGTGGTTGGGTCATCTATTTATAATACCTACTCTAATATCTAACTTCATAATCCAGCCATTTTTGCAACGAGGAAAATTTACATCCCAAGTCTTACTCATTTTCATCATAAAGAACGCTCGAATACATTTATGAAAGGGGAAGTTTGTATGCGTTTGTACGTTTATAATATTAAAATTTAAGTTTAGCATGTATGTCCATTTTAAGTTCCAAAATTGTACGTGTCTAATTATCATATAAGTTAGTTAAAACTCTAATTAGCATTAATAAAGATTATCGTTTGATTGTTATGTTGTAATCATGGTTGAGTTTTCTTGGATGAATTTTAGTGAAAGATGTAGAAACAGGTATGATGCACTAGAATTTTTGGCATTCATTCTTACAGAAACTAATATAATATACGTTTATAATATTCTCTCTTATGCAAGGGCACAACCGACCGCGTGTTGAATTCTTATTTACGTTCATGAATGCTGCACTGGAATCCGTCTCCGAGGTGAAGCCGATGAATACGGCCGCGTTTGTGATTCAGATTCACTTTGGGATTGTGGGACCCAATTCTTAAAATCGTTGCAAATCTGGTGTTGGGCCGCCACTCGGCCCAGAATATTCCTTGCGTTCCCAGTCCGAGAAGCACATTGGGCGACCCGTCCGGTTTTGTGGCACGACCAATTGGTTCCATGGGTACTCTGTGGTCGTCGGATGTGGTGTCAATGGAGTTAGATTATGCCTTTTCCATCACAAGCGACGCTCCGTGGACGGCAAGCAAGATGGGGGTAGGTTGCGGACTTGTGCTCCATGTGGGTCACATTGGTACCCTATCTCGCTTCCCTTCTATTGTTTTTGGCTTCTTTCCTTCGTGACGGTTGCAATTTCCTTAATAGATATTACCAGATACATGAAGATTGCCACAAATTCGCCGGTGACTTATCTATTATTACTCGTATCCTCAAGTGTATGATTGCTCGTAGATGTGCGGTACATATGTTACACCCACATACGCATTCTTTCAATTTCATTATTTTAATTATCCGTGGATCTTTTGCAGTCAACGCCCTTTGCATCATCTCGAGCGGCTCCCCTTGACAGATTGCACAGATCTGTACACCCGAATTGGTATACTTGATGCCCCTTCTCTCTCTGTCTCTTCCGACACAACACCATATTCTTCTACCCTGCGGAAGAAGAATAGGTTGCCAAAATGGACAAGCCTCAAGAGGAAGAAGAGCAGCGCCAGATCACATCTCCCCTGCGTAAGCTTATCATCTCCTCCGCTTCTTCTCTCTTCCCTTCTCTCATCCTTCGCATCATGCAGTCGCCTCCGATCCCTCCACCTCGGCGTCGTCCTCGTCATCTCCACCACCACGAAAGGAGGAGGAGGAAGAGGAAGAGGAAGAGGAAGAGAACTCGCCCATCGAGCAGGTGGCCTTGACGGTGCCGGTCAATGACGACCCCGCGACGCCCGTCCTCACCTTCCGCATGTGGGTCCTGGGAACAGCCTCCTGCGTGCTGCTCGCCTTCCTGAACCAGTTCTTCTGGTACCGGAAGGAGCCGCTCTCCATCACCTCCATCTCCGCCCAGATCGCGGTGGTGCCGCTGGGCCACCTCATGGCCTCCACCATCACCGACCGCGTCTTCTTCAGGGGGAGCCGGTGGGAGTTCACCCTCAACCCGGGTCCTTTCAACATGAAGGAGCACGTCCTCATCACCATCTTCGCCAACTCCGGCGCCGGCAGCGTCTACGCCATCCACATCGTCAGCGCCGTCAGGATATTCTACCAGAAGCACATCACCTTCTTCGTCTCCTTACTCGTCGTCATCACCACACAGGTCTTGCCTCATCCGCATCCCTTCCCTCGATCCTTCGTGTAGCCATCGCATAATTCGTTCGTCTTGCTGTTGATATTGATGACACAGGTTCTCGGCTTCGGGTGGGCTGGGATGTTCCGGCGGTACCTGGTGGAGCCGGCGGCGATGTGGTGGCCGCAAAATCTGGTGCAGGTCTCACTGTTCAGGTAAGTGGTCTCTCTTTTTAGTTTTTAAATCCTTGCATTTTCTGGCTTGAAACGATGATGCGAGCTTAGAACATTTGATTAGTGGTTGGTGACTACAGACTCAGATAGTTTACTCAATGCCCATGCCCAGCGGGGTCTCATAAGACTCATATATCGCGTAGTTAACCGACACATATAGGCCATGTAATTAACATCCACTTGCCAGTGGTAGGGACATGTAGATGGAATCAACTTTTAAGGCCACCCTGGTCCAGATTGCAAGCGTTGAACTGCTTTCCTTTCATCTACATGCAGAGCCCTGCACGAGAAAGAAGGTCGCCCCAAAGGTGGCATGACTCGGAACCAGTTCTTCATGGTGGCCTTCTTCTGTAGCTTTGCCTACTACGTTCTCCCAGGCCATCTCTTCTCCGTGCTCACCTCCCTCTCCTGGATGTGCTGGATCTTCCCTCGCTCCGTCCTTGCCCAGCAGCTCGGTTCTGGACTCCATGGCCTCGGCATCGGCGCCATCGGCCTGGACTGGGCCACCATCTCCTCCTACCTCAGCAGCCCCCTGGCCAGCCCTTGGTTTGCGACTGCCAATGTCGCGGCTGGCTTTGCGCTCATCATGTATGTCATCACGCCCGCTGCGTACTGGCTCAACCTCTACAACGCCAAGACCTTCCCCATCTTCTCCGATGGCCTCTTCACATCCACCGGGCAGAGCTACAACATCTCCGGCATCATAGACCCCAACTTCCACCTCGACATCAAGACCTACGAGAAGAATGGTCCGCTCTACCTGAGCGCACTCTTCGCAATGACCTACGGCGTCGGCTTTGCCTCTCTCACGGCGACCATCTCTCATGTTCTTCTCTTCCATGGAAGGTGCGTGGTGACACTCGATTTGCCTGCAACGAATGCCAAGTATTCGATCGATCACAGTTGTGCTTGCTTGTAGCCAAATATGGCAGATGAGCAAGTCAGCATTCAAAGAGAAGATGGATATCCATACGAGGCTAATGAGCAGATACGACCAGGTCCCGCACTGGTGGTTCATCATCCTCCTCGTTGCCAACGTTGCTCTTACCATCTTCGCATGTGAGTACTTCATCGATCAGCTCCAGCTGCCATGGTGGGGAGTACTACTAGCCTGCTTCATCGCCGTTTTCTTCACGCTCCCCTTCGGAATCATCAAAGCCACCACGAACCAGGTATCTGCTTGCTAGTTTCCTTCCCCGTGTCAGCTCCCTGCAGCTTCTGAGTTAGCTAGCCTGATCAATGGCTTCTCCTGTTTGTTGACCAAGACACCGGGACTAAACGTCATTACAGAGTACATCATCGGATACTTGTATCCCGGACGCCCAGTCGCAAACATGTGCTTTAAGGTATACGGATTCATCAGCATGAAACAGGCCTTGTTGTTCTTGCAAGACTTCAAATTGGGGCACTACATGAAGATACCACCCAGAACTATGTTCATGGCACAGGTTCGTTGACACTCCCATGTCCTTTGGCTGCCAAAGAGTATTGATTGAGTTCATAATGATGAGGAAATATAGGTTGTGGGCACCTTGATTGCTGCACTCGTATATTTGGGAACTGCATGGTGGCTTATGGAGACCATTCCCGACATCTGCAACACCAAGCTCCTGCCTTCGGACAGTCCATGGACCTGCCCCGGTGACCACGTCTTCTACGACGCCTCTGTCATCTGGGGTCTCATTGGTCCACGCAGGATCTTTGGAGACCTCGGCACCTACTCCAACATCAACTGGTTCTTCCTGGCTGGTGCGCTGGCGCCTCTGCTCGTCTGGCTTGCGCATAAAGCCTTCCCAGAGCAGGAGTGGATCCGCCTCATAAACATGCCCGTACTGATCGGCGCCACTGGATCGATGCCGCCGGCAACAGCCGTGAATTACACGACATGGGTCTTTGTCGGTTTCCTCTCAGGTTATGTGGTCTACAGGTACAGGCGTGAGTGGTGGCAGCGGCACAACTATGTGCTCTCTGGTGCTCTGGATGCAGGGCTGGCATTCATGGGCGTGTTGCTGTATATGTGCTTGGGATTGGAGAAGGTGAGACTCAATTGGTGGGGGAATCACTTGGATGGGTGTCCTCTGGCTTCCTGCCCAACGTCTCCGGGTGTCGTCGTCGAAGGTTGCCCCGTGTTCTGAGATGCTTGTGGAGCTACAAGTTCTTTGTTTCCTTATTAGATTTGCATTCATACTTCAGTGGAGATGTATAAATCATTGAATTGGAATATGTAACTTAGGTACAAATCAGTGAACATGGAAATCTCAGCCCGGCATTTCGACGATTACGTGGAAGGCAGGGTTGACATCGCCAAGCTTGCGATCGCCTGTACTCCCTCTGCTGCGTCCTTCCGTTCTCTAACCCAACCTGATCTATCCGTCCCACATATACCGAGCCGGGGCCAATCCAAGATCGATCGGTCGAGCTCAATCAGCAGATCGGACTGGGTTGCATTAGGGTTGCGAAACTGATTTAGGATTCAATCTGGGATGGCATTGGGTTGGAAGGGGCTGGAAAGCAGAAAGAGGATCGGTGGGCCACAAGAACGCAAGAAATCCAGATGAAAGCAGGGCCGCCTCTCAACCTCCACCACCAGTTGAGATATCGTGGCACCACCAATCCGCTACTGCCCAATGTTTCCCCTGTTGATATTTTCCTCGCCGCCCATTCCATCACGGCAGTAGGCAGTACTCCTTCGTACCAAGTTCGAGAGAAAGCAAGATGCTTGCTTCTGCTGCTGCTGCTACTGCCATCACAAAGCCAAGCCTCTCCTGTTCCGGACTTCGCTTCTCTTCCGACATCAATTCGATCCCTCCCTCGACGCCGGTGGCCGCCGCGGCCGGCTTCCGGTCCTCCTGCTCCGCCGCTCGCTCGTTCCGCGTCAGAAGCGCCGCCACGAAACCTGCGAAATCACCTGGTATAATATGACCAAATCATCCCTGTTCTTGTCAATTTCCTCATTTGTGCATCGAATTGGTCACATGTTCTATCTTGTTTGCACTCAGCCGAAGAAGACTGGAAGACCAAGCGTGAGCTTCTCCTTCAGAAGAGGGTAATTCCCGTTTCATGTGTTCTATTTTTTAGATGATTTTTCTGCTTAATTTAACACTATACTCATATAGACTAGTTGACATTTCTCGTCACTGATTACTTCTTGATGCAGTGTATAGATCTTCTTCTTTCTTTTTAGCAATCCAATGCTGTTTTTGATGAAGATATCTGATTCTTGTGACGATCGCTCAAGTTTGCTAAGCTGTTGGTACATATCTTTTGGTCATCAACGACTTAGTTCATCAGCAGTGTATTATTCCATGTAATTTAGAACTTTGTCAGTTTTCATGTTAAGTTTGCAGTTCTCATCAACAACATGCAATCAGAGTAATGCATAAAAGATACTCTTCTACAAGGAGGATCTTGCTTATTATCCTACCTTTTCTTATCACTATTATAAGTGCCAGTAGGAGAGACAATGCTCTTCTGGTTGTCCTGTAATGGTGCTCTTGCTCTCGGATTGAGTGACTGTGAGTTCATGTAGGTAAATCTTGCTAGAAGGGAGTTTGTGATTTTGGCTAAAGAACATTTTGGTGAATCTGCTGTTCTTTTTCTGAATTGGATGATGTGATCTCCATCTGTGTATGATAACATGATCTGTTTGCAGGTCCGTAGTGTTGACGTAAAGGAAGCACTGCGTCTCCAAAAAGAAAACAATTTTGTAATTTTGGATGTCCGTCCTGAAGCAGAATTTAAGGAGGTATTTTTTTTAATTGCTTTCGTTATAAAATGTATAAATGCAATGTAGTCATTTTGCAACTCTTAATTGGGGCAAAGCAAAAAATGACATCTAACAAACAGAATTGGCTAAAGAGAAAATGGGGTAACAAATGGAGATACATAAACCTACAAGCATCAACAACCTTTTGTTGCTAATTTTGTTCTATAACATATTTGCACTTGCATTTATAAGAAAGTTTCTCATCTTTCATCACTAAATTCTTATTTGTGCAAGTCTAATTCCATCGGTTGGAGAAAGCTTCAAGGAAGAGTTAACTAGGTCTTGTGGCCATATGGTTAGGCCATCATCAACATTTATCTGTAGTGTTTAACCTATCCAATGCAAATTTAGGAAAAATGACTTGCCCAAGACCTAATGGTTGGCGGGAGAGGAAGAATGTGTATGTGATGGAAGTTTAACCTTATGAAACTAAGGAGCAACTGTATGAAACTCCAATACATTTAAGGGGGTCTTGAAAAAAAAGGGAATTACTGGCTATGCTTGAGATTTTATTTTTCCTTTCTTTTTTGAGGGATAATTTTATCTAAAGATGAAGCTGAATGTTTTTAGCGTCACCTCTTTGTCCTTTCAAATGATTCAACCTTGGACCACAACAAATAAGAACCATCTCTAGCTTCCATCCATAGTTCTTTCTATGAGTGCTTTGTGTTGCTTATTATATCCATTTCCATAATACACCTTTGTGTTCTCATGATAATATCATGTTTCTTTCTGAAATCATAGTACTTCATCATATGTTAAAAAGTCAATCCAGGGATTGACCACTTGACTTTGAGTAGGTTTATGCCAAATATGTTATATTAATTTTCTTAAGTTCGATTGACTTGTCAGTGAATTTTGGTGAATGCTTCACATCTCTAATTGTGATTCTTGAAAACTTCTTTAGGCTCATCCACCAGGTGCAATCAATGTACAAATATATAGGCTTATAAAGGAATGGACCGCATGGGATATTGCTAGGCGTGCTGCTTTCGCATTCTTTGGAATATTTTCTGGCACAGAAGAGAATCCCGAGTTTATCCAGAGTAAACTAATTAGGGCTGTAACACATATTTTTGTGTAGATAAGTTGAATCGTGAATAATAAATATTTTCATCTGCAAACAGGTGTGGAGTCAAAACTTGATAAGGATGCAAAAATCATTGTAGCATGTTCAACCGGAGGAACAACGAAACCATCACAAAATCTTCCAGAGGGCCAACAGTCCAGGTAACTTGGTTAAAGTATATTATTTCAGCAATCAAGCATCATCCAATCTCTGCATGTGGTGTATTGAACCTTTCATCTAATCTAACAGTGTCAGTCAGCATTTCAAGTTTGATTGATCGATGTTTAGGCCATCATCCGTGACACATGATGACACTAGTCCTAACTTCTTCCATGTTATTGATGAGAAAGTATGATTTTGGCAGGTCTTTAATAGCAGCATATTTGCTGGTGCTGAATGGGTATAAAAATGTATACCACCTGGAGGGAGGGCTCTACACATGGTTCAAAGAAGGCCTGCCTGCTGCTGCTGCTGCTGCTGCAGAAGAAGAAGAATGAGATGCAAGATCACAATGTAAAATTGTGGCTCTAGGATTTTGTTCCCTGCAGCCTTTATTCATAATATCAATCTGTAAATGTTTGTGTTATTTTACATACATTCTTTAGCAGACTCTGACAGTTCACATCAGAATAAATGAATGATGCTCTTCTTGTTGGGGCCTTAGAAAGTAAAGGCAATTATGTGTTTTTCACTTGTGATATCTATATTTAAGGACTAATTGAGCGGGACTAAATATTTTTTGGAACAATCATTTAGACTGTTAATGGGTCAATTATCCCATCGGATCATGATAATGCTTGTGTTAAAGAGTGCAATTTGACTAATTACATTACTCTTGTTGTAATATATTATTTTATTTGGTAAGGTATCTGTCATTGGATAGTTACAATTACAAGGATATATATATATATATATATATATTCTTTTAGATGCGGAGAAGTGATCATATTTCAGACGTGGATGGATCTGATCGAATAACCAAGTTTAATTGTCATGCTTTGATCCAACAGGATAAATCATACATTAACTTGGTAAGCTTTGGAGCTTTTATGTCGTAATGTATTTTAGTCCCATCCGTAGTCTTCGATTCGATTGGATAACTAACTTATAATAATAATAATAATAATAATAATAATAATAATAATAATTTTTTTAATTTAAATATAATCACCAGTGATGTGATAGGAAGTTGTTATGTCAACTTTTATGATGTGTATAAATCGACGGTCGAGATCAAAAGGAGAAGATGGGACATGGGGGAACACTCACCATAACCTTCATGTACAACGGAACCTGCACACAGTTTGCATCTCGAGCTCACATCCAATGAAAGGACCACCAACACATGACATGTTTTTTTCTCTCTCTCACACACACACATACACATGGCATGTTCTTTTCCTACCAGATATATATACGTACTAGAAGACGAACATAGATTAAAAACATGAGCATAAGACATCATACCGAAATATCTGACAATTGACCTATAAAAGCAATTCCCTTCGACACCAAACCATTATGCTACCTGAATATAAATTGCAGCGCAAGTGCATTGCATTGTTGATGTCACTTTGACCGAGTTTGGATGAGTCTGATATTGATTTTGACCGGGCCCTACCCTCACATGGCCGAGCAGCGCGGAGACCCCATTGTACGAATCTCGCCCGTTCAATCGAGCCAAATCGATGCCAACCAAACCCCTCGGGACCACCTCCTGTTCACTAATCACGAGGCAATTCCCGATCGCACTTCCATTTACCTGGAACGGAAGAGATGGCCAAGTGGCTTGTCATGAGCGCGATTTTTGCGTCGCCATCTCCTTATCGTGTCCGCTTCTCCTTCTTTTAAAGTCCTCCCCCCCCTCTTCAGACCACCACCACACTCCAGCCTTGCGGTGGCCTTCCTTGTGTTGCATGCACTTCGGTAGTTCCCAGATAGAAAACGATGAAGGTGAGTGAGCAGATCCCTCTCTGCTACTGTGTTGTTGTGTTGGTTATACAGCTACTGTTACTGTGACTCTTGTGGCATAGATCATCTTCGATTGGATGCGTCGCAAGCTGCACCCCAGCGTCAAATACTCCCAGGTTTCTCGAAAGAAAGGTTGGGGGAGAATCTGGGGACTTCCTTCCTCGTAGCTTTCCCTGGTTTCGGGAATGCGAGATGATGCCTTTTTTTTTGTTTCTGATTCCCAGATGCTTTCGGCGGAGATGACGAAGAGAAGCAGGAGGTGGTCTTCGAGGGTCTGATGGAGAAGGAACCATTACTGCTTCACGACGTCCTCGACGGCATTCTCACCATTGGCACGTTGGGACACCAAGGCAACTTTCTTTCTCGATCCTACTCCATCCAGGAAGACCATCTCCTGCAGGAGGACGAAGCAGACACGGAGGTAGAGGAGAGAGAAGAAGGAACGGAAGTTGCGCCGGCCATCATCGAGTCAATTAAGGTCAAACTACCTGTTGAAGCAGAGGTGAAAGAGGTGACGGTGGTGGTGAAAGACGTAGAAGAGTCCCCACTGCTGGAGGAGGACAAGAAGAAAAGAGAGCGGGGAAGGACGACGCTCGCCGATCTGTTTGCTGCCGAGAATCTCAACGAGGGAGCCAATGCCAACCGTGAGAGGAAGAAGACAGCGAAGACAAAGAAACAGGAGAAGCGGACATCACCCTGCACCGCCAATGCCAAAGCCAAAGCCAACACCACCACCAACACAAAGCTACAGAAGGTACGCTTCGCCACTCTCTCATGCATGGTCTGTGAGTGTCAATGCTGTTCTCAGCCACCCTCTCTCCGTGAATGGCAAAACTTGTTTACTAGCAGTTTCCTGATCTCGATGTTTTGTTGACTGGTTTGTGGTGAATGGGTAGCTGATGACAAAAATGTTGAAGAAGAAGATCCATCCAGAGATTGCAGTGATGCCCAAATCATCGGAAACACAGACCCAAGAAACAAGAAGCCACTGGTAATCTCTCTCTCAGCTTTGTCGTTGATCTAAGCCACTTGATCTCCACAGAAGATTGAATGGGTAGCCCATGCAAACACAAATAGTTGGCAGACATATACCTTGAGCTTATAATATCCATCACCATCAAGGCTTGTTTGCTAACAGTTTCTTGGTCTCTTTGTTTGTTTTCATTGCAGATTTAATGTAAGTCCGATGCTTAAATTGGCAGTAAAAAGAGCATGATATATGTCCATCATCAAGACAAAAAGTGATTCTAGATATATGTATCACATGTTGTGGTATTGCATCTAATTGTATGTGCCAGTTTACTGTTGTAAGACAATCTGCAAGTGGCTAATGGCATAATTTGTGTTTTGGAGAAGAGGAGGAGAAACATTAATATTAATCCTTACGTTTCTAAATAATCTTTGCCTTCGACATCCCAAATTGCGGCTGGCACAGGTGACACCGAGGTAAAGAGGCCACTATCGACGAATGAGAGGCGACGCTTCGGTGTTGGCCCCACCCAGTTAAGTGGGTTTTTCCTGTTGCCTGCCTAAATCGAGAAAGCCCGGAATCAAAACTTCTTTAGCCGTTCATCAGGATCTCAACGGTTAGAAATGGCGCGTTCCTGTGAGAACGGAGGAAACGACCGTTCATCTTCTGAAGTATTTTGATGGGGAGCAGATCGAGCATTGGAGAGGATGAACTGGGCGGTCGGGACATGTATTATGGACCGTTCATCTCCCACGTTTACGGTCCATTAATGTGATGGGTGGGCCGGTCGGGACATGTATTATGAATCGGACCCCGAGTGATCTTGGAGTTCGGTCCAAGAATCCAACCCGGTTTGGGCGGCCGTAGACCGAAAAGATAGCGCAAGTTGCGGCCACAGAGCAGCTCGAGGGGAATGAGCAAAGACCGGCCTCGAAGAATCACCTCAGAGCCCTAAATCCACCCGACCCCTTGTTGTGTCTCTCGCGTCGTCGGAGGAGATCGATGGCGACATCCATGATGCTTCGAGCTTTGAGGCGGGGCGATCTATCGCCGCCATCTCTGTCCTCTCGCCTTAGATGCGTAAGCTCGCTTTCTCTCTTCGGATTGTTGCCCCCTTCGAAGCGGCCCGGATTAGTAACCTTCCTGTCGTAAAATTTCTTGTAGCCTTTGCACGGTGCCTCTGTACCGTTTCCTGGAAGATTATATGTAGCTTTTTTATTGTTACGGATCAGTTAGACTTTCGATTAGCCTCATTTTCACCATTATTGTGTTATTGTGATTCTGCTGTGAGTTGGTGCAGGCCCAATAATGCTTTCCTCTTCTTGTTATCATCATGGTCAGAAATTTTCATCTTTTATGTTTTGTGTTTTCATATAAAAATGATAAATTGCACAAACCTGATTAATATTGTTTTATCGTAAAATTTAATTTGAGAAGTGTATTTGACATCGAGCTCAGAGTTTGATTGATAGTTGAAGCTTCCGTGTTTTATATTCTTCGTGCTGACAGTATATTTGTTGAAGCCAGATGTAGTACGTTTGGTTGTTTTTCTGGTGCCAGAAGTTTCAGCTACAAAAACTTTCCAATAAATTCTAGAGGGTTCAGGAGGAAGATTTGGAGTCACGAAAGTGAACATAAGTTTGATGGTTTATATCTATTTGAGATCTTTTGTTTTATCATCTGGGTTGTCTAAGACTGAAATCATAGAAAATTAGCTCATAAGAGGTGGAATGTTTACAGAGATTGTATTTTAGATTGAGTGTACCGGTTTAATATTTGATGTAAAAGCATGCACAAATCTGAAATTTGAGTTTTTCAATAACTAAAACAGGCATTGCGTAGTTGCATTTTGTTATTAAAATTGGTTCACTGTGGTGTATAATACAAGAAATCATTGCCAAAGTGGCGTTTGTACTTGTCTTTCTTTCCTTTTTGTCGGCTTGATTTACCCATCCTTCTGTGTGTGTCTCCCTCTTTGTTCCACCATGCTCCTTCCGGCAAACTTGTCCTCACCTTTTGTACCCTTTTTTCTCACTAAAACCCTCTCAGTACCCCAGTCCATTACCCGGTTGGTGATCTGCAGCTTCTGTCCTAGTCGGTCCTGCAAAGGGAGAGAGACAACACTGGTACACATACTAGCAATCTTGTTCCCTGTTGTTTATCATAGGGCTGAGTCTGGGCTGAATTTTCTTTTCTTATGGTAGTGTGTTAGTGATCTGTCGCTGCTCAGGTCTTTTGTTCCCAAGCCTGTGGTATTGTAATGGACAAGTATTAGTAGACAATGGCCATGAAGTGAATCTTATCTTCTACTTCTTTGTTCCTTTCCCTTCATCTTTTAATGGTGGACAGACCATAACAAGTTTGTTTATTAATAGTCTTATGGAATTTGTGTGATATAGGTCTTGTGAACTATATTTCGTTCTAAAATTTAGCAAATCAGATCTTGATCAATATCAAAATTAATGGCTTTTTGTTTAGCTGATTTTCAAAGTTGGGTTCATGACTTAGAGCTCTGCTTCAGATGCCTACAGGAGGAACCCAAACAAGGGCACCCTCGTCAGTGTGAACTATGGACATAATCAGGGAAAGTAGTGGCATACTGTCAGTATGAGACTGATAGTTTGGGTCATCTGGTTGTCCCTTTGTGCTTCCGTTGTGGGCGTAAAAGAGCATTTTTCTAACCTGAAAAGTGCTTCCTTTTATTATTTATCTTTAGAAGTTTTCGTTTTGTTCATATGGAGCTGTGCATCTGATCTTTATCACTTGTTATGTAGTCATGAGGATCAGGTGCAGTTCTTCTTATTCCTTCTTTTCCATATATTTAACTCCTCTTGTTTCTACTTTCTTCCTTGTTTGAACTGAGACTCTTGATTCATTTCTTTGATCTCTCTTTCTGTAGTATCTTCTCTTAACTATCACTCTTTTCATAATTGAAGTGTTTCTTATTTTCAACATGCAATGATTAATCTGATTTTGCGTGTGAACTTTCTGTTCTCAAATTTTCTAGCTATTATTCATAATCCCAAATCTTTAGCAATGGTTAATCATTTGCATATGCCATGCATGTGGGAGTGTTGTACTGTTAGAAAGTGGAAGGCACATGCAATTGAACATTGGGTAGCAGCGTCGCTTTCACTGTTTCCATAACTGGAAAAATAAAAGAGTGAAAAGTAAAAAATAGAAGTTTTGCCATGATCACCCAGCTAGGAAGCTTCTTTCATGGTGATGGATTGCATAATCATGTTTTGCAGTTTTCTAAAACAACAGAATCAAGGTAATAATTCTTAAGTTAGTTTCGTGTTGTTCATTTGTTTCTTTGATGTCACTGGGCACCCCCTTTGAGCACCATTATCTCTTTTGCCTCTTGTTTGTTGCCCTACTATCCATCACTTTGCTATCTCTTGTTTGTATTAAATTATGATAATTCTGTTTTAGTACTTGTATAGCTTATTGCTATTTTTTATGTTGAGTAACATAGTTATACTTGTAGCATTCCATATTTCATGTTTATTTATGCAGTTATCTGGCAATGCAAGCGTGCCCTGGTGTGCTTCTCCTCTGGGTCATAAATGGGCTAATTTGGTTAGATCGTTCAGGTATTGTCTCATGTATTTAATTTGAAGTGCATCTTTAATGTCGCTTCTCTAATATGCTTGTTTTCTGCTTCTTCTTTTTTTGGTTTGCTTTACATGGGACTTCTCTTTTTATCCAGCACAAAACCAGCAGGAAATGATATAATTGGAATTGATTTGGGAACAACAAATTCATGTGTCGCAGTTATGGAGGGAAAGGTAGATCTCTGATAGTCTTGTTTGTATTTGGTCATCTGTAACTCTGATAATGAATAATACTCTCCTATGCTTGTGTATAACAGAATGCTAAAGTCATAGAAAACTCTGAAGGAGCTCGTACCACACCATCAGTTGTAGCTTTTAATCAGAAGGGAGAACTACTTGTTGGAACTCCAGCAAAACGTCAGGCAGTTACCAATCCTACAAACACCCTTTTTGGAACCAAGCGACTGATAGGACGCCGCTTTGATGATCCTCAAACACAGAAAGAGATGAAGATGGTCCCCTTCAAGATTGTGAGGGCACCCAATGGGGATGCATGGGTTGAAGCAAATGGTCAGCAGTATTCTCCCAGCCAGATTGGTGCATTTGTTTTGACAAAGATGAAAGAAACTGCTGAATCTTATCTTGGGAAGTCAGTTTCAAAGGCTGTTATCACTGTTCCTGCATATTTTAATGATGCCCAACGTCAGGCTACAAAGGATGCAGGGAGGATTGCTGGTCTTGATGTACAAAGAATTATCAATGAACCAACTGCTGCTGCGCTTGCCTATGGGTTGAACAACAAGGAGGGCCTCATTGCAGTTTTTGATCTTGGAGGTGGAACATTTGATGTTTCAATCTTGGAAATATCAAATGGTGTATTTGAGGTATATGGTCTTTATTTTTCTTGCCTTTGGTAGGGAGGGTCTGCTTTTTCTTTTTGTTAGGTCTTGTTAATGGTCTCATTTCTTTATTTCAGGTTAAATCGACAAATGGCGACACCTTCTTGGGTGGAGAAGATTTTGACAATGCATTGGTAGAATTCTTGGTTGATGAATTTAAGAGAACTGAGGCAATAGACCTTTCAAAGGATAAGCTGGCTCTACAGAGGCTCCGGGAAGCAGCTGAGAAGGCTAAGATTGAACTCTCATCGACATCCCAGACTGAGATCAATCTTCCATTCATAACAGCTGATGCTTCCGGAGCAAAGCATATGAACATAACACTCACAAGATCAAAGTTTGAGACTTTGGTGAATCATTTAATAGAAAGAACCAAAAATCCCTGTAGAAGCTGTTTGAAGGATGCTGGCATAAGCAGCAAGGATGTTGATGAGGTTCTTCTTGTTGGTGGAATGACTAGGGTTCCAAAAGTCCAGGAAATAGTTTCAGAAATCTTTGGAAAGAGCCCTAGCAAGGGAGTGAATCCAGATGAAGCTGTTGCAATGGGAGCTGCCATTCAGGGTGGTATACTTCGTGGAGATGTTAAAGAGCTCCTTCTATTAGACGTAACTCCCTTGTCACTAGGTATTGAGACCCTTGGTGGTATTTTTACGAGACTGATCAACAGGAATACAACCATTCCCACGAAGAAGAGTCAGGTAAGAATATGATTGATGAAAAAAAATTATTAGTAGAAAGTTTAATAAAAGAAGCTACGGATATGGGGTTTTCATGAAAACATAGGACCAGAAGGAAATGCAACTCCAA